GAAGTCCACCCAAGATATCCGTTCCGATGCCGGTCGCGATGGGATTGTCGCGGGACGGCCGCCAGGTTGTCCGGTTTGAGACAGCCGTCTCCTGTTCCGACGGGATCATGTCAATGCACTCGATCGAGACTTTGTCTAATCGAAGGTCCTGCTCGAGTTCCGATGCGCGTGTTGAGGATATGGTGAAGAGGTGAGGGGTAGATGTGTTTGTGGCGGCGGCGTGAGTGGATTCAGCGGAATTATCTAGCGATGATGAGCTCTGATGTCTTTTCCCATTCGTGTGTTGGCGAGCGTATCGATTGGCTCCGTTCTGTGAAGGGCGTGGGCGTTTCTGAAATGGGAGCAGAGCTTCACATGCGGAGTCGAATGACAAGGAAGTAGAGTGTCGGTCTGCGCCTGCACTGGCGCCTCTGAGATCGGAATGAGGGCGAGCAAATACTTCAACCGCGAGGTGATAGAAATATGAGGGCATACCGACAGCTGCTCATATCTCTACTCCTTACTGGTCTGCGAACTCTCGAACTCGTCGTGTGTGGATTATAGCAACTAACCGGTGGGCTGTCTCTCGCCGCCGGCTGGATAGCCCAGGGATCACGTGTGGGTCATCCGGGGTGGCAAGTGGGACCCAAAGGACCCAACAAGAGCTTCTGCGGGCATGTTTATTTACAACCCGGTGTACATATACTACTGCATAACAAAAAGTCCTTACGAGGTGGAAAAGAGGCCAGACTCGTTATAATCGGAAGACCGTAATATTCTGAGAAGCAAAGAGAGAACACCAATTAAATGGTGATACAAAGAGGTATGTTCGAATTAACCATATCATAAAAAGCCATCAAAAACCTTCCGAACGCCATGCAGTCCAGTCAACCTGTGAATCTGAAACTGTGCAAGAACCAAGGAATCAGTTCCCACCACGAAGGCGGAGAACCAAGTGCAGTGTGCTCTCTTTCTGAATGTTATAGTCCGAGAGTGTACGACCATCCTCCAGCTGCTTACCAGCAAAGATGAGACGCTGCTGGTCGGGGGGGATTCCCTCCTTGTCCTGAATCTTGCTCTTCACATTGTCGATCGTGTCGGATGACTCAACCTCCAAAGTAATCGTCTTTCCCGTGAGCGTCTTGACGAAGATTTGCATACCACCACGGAGACGCAACACCAAGTGCAAAGTAGATTCCTTTTGAATGTTGTAATCAGAGAGGGTCCGGCCATCTTCCAACTGCTTTCCAGCGAAAATCAGGCGCTGTTGGTCCGGGGGGATGCCCTCCTTATCCTGGATCTTGCTCTTCACATTGTCGATCGTGTCGGATGACTCAACCTCCAAGGTAATAGTCTTTCCAGTGAGTGTCTTGACGAAAATCTGCATACCACCACGCAGACGTAGGACCAAGTGAAGGGTAGACTCCTTCTGAATGTTGTAGTCGGAAAGGGTACGACCATCCTCAAGCTGCTTACCAGCGAAGATCAAGCGCTGCTGGTCAGGAGGAATGCCCTCCTTGTCCTGAATCTTGGACTTAACATTGTCGATAGTGTCGCTCGACTCAACCTCGAGAGTGATGGTTTTGCCAGTGAGGGTCTTGACAACTGCGATGAAGTCAGTAAACGTTCCAGTATCCACGGCCACCTGAGTGGCAAATCCACGTTGCAGCAAGGGAACCTACAAATCTGCATACCACCACGAAGGCGGAGCACAAGGTGAAGGGTAGACTCCTTCTGGATGTTGTAGTCGGAAAGGGTACGACCATCCTCAAGCTGCTTGCCAGCGAAGATCAAGCGCTGCTGGTCAGGAGGAATACCCTCCTTATCCTGGATCTTAGACTTGACGTTGTCGATGGTATCGCTCGATTCAACCTCAAGGGTAATGGTCTTGCCGGTCACTAAGTAGGGAAAGGTGGCGTCAGAATTGAGCTCAGATCCATTTGGACGATGATGAGATACTTACACGTCTTGACGAAGATCTGCATGATGGAAGACGGTTTAGAAGACTGCAGTAAACGGTGTGAAAGGATAATGAGGTTGTGTGAGAGGAAAGTGTGGGTGGTAGAGCACAGATGAATCTGTGTAATGACAGAGAGGTATGGATGATGGAAGGAGGAAGGAAGAAGTGGATGAAAGCAGGAGAAGAAGGCTTAAGTAGTCGGGCGAAGAGGGAGAGATGAGGGGAGGCGGCGGCGGAGGCGAAGCGCCTTAGTCAGGGTCGAACAGGTCAGTGATAGGCAACCAGGCCCGATAACGTGATGCAAGGGAAGGCAGGAATACTTAATTAGGCACTGGGCAGTGAATGGAGAGACAGTTTAGGCCGGCTTAGTCGGCTTAGTGAGTTACTATGTATGTAGTTAGTTAGTTAACTTAGAGGACCGTGTTAGTCAGTGTCAGCGCCCCTGTTGATTCTAGCATCTCCTGGCCCATTCTCGCACTACTAATCCTGCGTCATTTGGCTCCTCCAATCTACTTCACCTCGTGCGCGCTTAGGAGGAATCTACTAGAAACTTAAGCCGTATCCGTTGGGTGACTCAAAACTCACCCAGCGCTTCCCGGGCAGTTGCTTATCTTTCACCTGGACGCAACCAAAAGAGCCTATTTGGTACAAGAAAAATCTCTAACTGGGTTCAGGCAAAGAATCGCCATGCTCAGCCGTGTCTGCCACATGAAAGGATAGAGTCGCCAGAGACCGAGGGGGATGGAAGAATGCCTGGTATCAGTTCCGGCCGCAGTGAAACGGTCTGGGCAACGCCCGTCCGCATCCGCCACTGACGCCACCAGTCGGCATCTCACCCCGGATACAAGACTGAGCCTGAGTCCTCGCTCGTGTTCCTATTTCGAACGGCTCCGGCTATAAACTCCAGGATTCGGCGAGTGTCTTCTACGCAGACTTTGATAGAGATGTTTCGCATCCCTGCTTGATGCTGAGCAGGACGTTTTGGCGACTGCGTACGTACTTGTTACTTAGTCGGTATCACAGCGATGACGTGTAGGGAACTCCTTATCGGGGGGGCTCAGCTTCACTATCGGGGCTGGAAGCGGGATAGCGGAGAGACACTAGCGCTTAGAGAGGGTCAGGTGATCGGCGCATCCGGAACGCCCCCGCTTCCTGTTGTCGGGTAGTAGACTATCTTACAGACCTACACTGACCGGACCTTGGGGTAATTTGTACAAGGGTCATGACTGCGTCTGCTAATAAGGTACTCGTGGAGATGCAGAGCAAGATTCCATCTCTTCCGTCTACATCACCAATAGCATCATCTCACCCCTTGATTACCTCAGTCGAGTTCCCTCGATTTTTCTAGGATATCATTTCCGTGCCGATAGCTCATAATGTATTCCGGTACCGAGGGCCCCGTGGTCACAACTACCCATACGTTACCGACTCAAGAAGGTTTCCATAGTCGCTTTCGCGCTACGTGCTCGTTTTTGGGGCACTGATTGACTCATTCTAAATCCCGTCGAACCACCCGAATCTGGCATCAACCCATCAATGCATATATATCAAACGAGGAGAAATCAAGCATGCTTCGCAGAGGAAGCGAGTCCGCCTGAGTCTCGGAAGATGCAGTCACGAACTCCCCGTCCACTGGACGCAAAGCTACAAAAGGTGTGAATGGAACAGAATAGAGCGACTGAGTGGTCATATATGTAGTGCCGTGCGTAGTTGGACAAATTGCCGTCTTCCGATATTTTATCTACATGGCTTTCTTACACTGCAATCAGGGGCCCGTGATATGCAGCCCTGCGTCAGGTTTCCCTCCTACAGTATCTCATCCTTACTACTTCGAATCAATTTGAGATATCTACGTGATCAACCCTACATTCCACATCAAAATGCACCACAGAAATTGAAGACGGCTTGTTGATAAGATTGCATCAGAGACTCCTCCACATAGCATACCGACATCCCCTCACTCGAACCAAAAAAGTCCAAGCCCATATCTACCCTTGTGTCGACTAGACAGGAACAAGCATGGTTTGCAGGACAGCCAGTTATGTTGCAGTCAGAGGTAGTGAGAGAGGTCATATAGATCTTGGTCCAGCCTGGACAACGGTACAGTAGGCCAGGGGAACAAGTGCAGGGGGCAGAATAGTTGCATAGAAAACTGATTACAAGTTGTCAGCAATGCTGATTATGTTTACATACATTCGACCTTCGAGAAAACTTTTTATCAATCGCAGATTCTGCTACTACGGCGTCCAGAATAGAGATGTGAACTAGTTTATCAATCTGTTGACTGGCACAGCAAGTTGGCCTTGACCTTATAGCTTCGCAACTAGATGTCTATGTCAATAATTCCTTATGATGTTCGATTACTGATTTGCCTTCTCATGTATTCCTTACAAGAAGATGAGTTGGCCCTTTTCTTGGTTCGATGTATAGTCTATGCAGCATGAATTATAAGTTAAAAGCCTTTCTATTTCACGCATTCCTGATCAGAAGAAGAATATCGGCGTTGTGCGTGTAACGCCTCGGTTCAGCGAGGGCACATGATTTTAAACAGAACTACGAGTATGTAAACACCACGAATTCGCGTAGATTTCTTCCTTCCTTACCAGCTCCATGAATCTTCAAGGCATCAAGTTTTCCTCTTTGGGCCAGTAATTCTATCGGTATTACGTCTATAATCGACAAAGAACCAATTCTTAATATATACGCTTTCATACCCCAAGAGGTGCTCAGGGCCTCTCCACAATGCGCATTGATTATAGGTGTGGTTGCCTATGAATTCATTGATCCAGGCTGCAGGCTTCGAAGGCACTAGATAGACTTCTAGCTTTCGAAGTGAGCCTGTTAAGCATCGCCTGGGAAGCCAGACAACTTAGGAGTGCCTTCACTTGGAGTGTTGTTGGACTTTTGGTAGTTATCTGAATATCCTGACAACCTAGACTGCCAGTTATGGCTAACCCAGTCATCAAAGCTCAGCCCAGTGACATCTCAAGCATAGATGGTGAATGTATCCTTCCATATGATCCTCCCGCCATTGCAACCTTCCTGCCAAACCAAACATTACTTCGAACTTTTCCCCATACAGGCATTAGACGCGATCTCTGCTTTCAAGTGACCAATTCAGAGACTTTCTTCTGGATTCCAAGTTGTGCTCACTTAATTCTTGATCCTTGTTTCCGATCCCAGCAACTACCCTCAACGCTCCTTCCAGACGATCAAGATCTTTTCCCACCATCGTACAACAAGCTCATCAGGCTCTTTTACAGACAACAACCACGCACCATGTACGAATGTGAGACATGTTCTCGCCAATTCCATTCATGGTCTGCCTGTAAACAGCACATGACCGCTAAGGGGCACTGGGAGACATTTGGATGTGAGACCTGCGAAGAGGAGTTTGAGACAGAAGAGGAAGCAGAGGACCATATGCAAGAATGCGATCACTACGCGTATGACTACTCCTGCGAAACCTGCGAGGAAATGTTCCGCACAGAGGAAGATGCAGATGATCACATGGCATACTACGGCCACTATGGTCCCCGGTTCCCCTGCGAAACATGCGACAAGCTGTTCTACAATTCTCGGACGGCCAGTCACCACATGGACGCTCTGCAGCACTGGGCTCCCAAGGTAGGATGCGAGACGTGCAACGCGGTTTTCTATACACAGGATGCTGCAAATCGGCATATGACCGCAAAGGCACACTTCAAAAATTACTGCCCCAGTTGTGACAGATGGTTCCAGAACGAAAACAACCTACAGCAGGTAAGCCAAGATAGCCAAGATATACAGTTCCGGTATGATGACTGACAAGGCCCTTTACCTTCAGCATCTGAGGTCGAAGATTCACCTCGGCCGGAACTTGCTCTGCCCCTTCTGCAAGAACATGTACACCACAGCTAGTGGACTGGCTCACCACCTCGAAACCGGCTCCTGCACTTGTGCTCCCAATCTCAACCGCGAGTCCATCCATGAGCTGGTGCGTCGTCTCGATAAACAAGGCAAGATTACAAACAAGCTGCTTGAGTGGCATGCTAGCGACTCCGGTCAATATTTGGTTTCCTCAAATGCCTATAACGGGAGTGCCTGGGAGTGCTACATATGCCATAGAACGTTCGAGACTTCATCCGCGCTCAGCCAGCACCTGAACTCACCTACGCATAAGCAGCAAATCTATCATTGTCCCAATGTCAGCAAGTGTAGCAAGCAGTTCACCACTTTGGCAGCTTTGTTCAATCACCTAGAGAGCGAATCTTGTTCGTATATGAGATTCGAGAATGTTCAGAGGAATGCGCAAGGTCTTCTTACAGGAAGGAAGCTCATAGGATTTTGATCGCATCCGCGACCACGGAGACCACATCTGAGCAAACCCATGGAAGAACACGTCTGAGAATCCATGACAGACTCATCGCCTATGTTGCGTTGCTCTTGGATGAGTGTTTACTGGCCTCTTATGGCATGTCTCAACATTGTCTAGGCATCTTATTCCTTTTTCTCGCATACTCCACTGATTCCGGCACCAGTGTATCTTCTTATGATTGTTTAGATATCATCTCATATCTGTGTAAGCACTCGGACTACAAGCTCAAGCACAGCTCAATCTGGAATAATCGTACCAACGTTGAACTCGCTACGTAGGACTCAAGGAATCTCAGGGACAAAATGTCACTGTGTAATCCCATCCTCCCCAGCCATGACCCAGTGACGGGGATGAACACCAACCGCGCTATCAACTTTATCCTTATAGAAATGAAAAGAGACATTTCCTCCCGCAGAGCCGGAACTGCAATCTGCGATTGACCCAAGGTCTCAGACAGCCTCGCATCTGCTCTCCTGACAATCCCTCTCTTCAATGATCCTGTCTCTCGTGACCTGTCTTCAATGTCTAGCACCTTGCAGCTTTTATGGTGTCGAACCCACCCAGCAACCCTTAGGTCATACCTCCCTCTTTCCGAATTGAGCATCTCGCGCTGGAGACTAGAATGCCTTGGACTGATTTCATCCCTCTCAGCTCATCGAAAAGTACGCACAAACCCATCCTGAGGACCTCCTCTGGCGACTGCTTCCGTGCGATGGCCCATCTTCCTGTCTCGCAGACCTCGGCTCGGACACACAAGGACCCCACGCATACCCTTCCAAAACCGAAGTGGAATGCGGAGGGTGGACACCGCAACGGTCCCCGCATCAGCCAGGGACAGATGTACAATTGATTTGGTTCTGAGCTCCGGCGATGACAATATTCCACTCGGGGAGGCGGGAGGGGGGGGGGACGTCAGTATACCTAGCTCCTCCAGGATCCCTGTGGAAGGAGAATGGTAACAGCTATGAAGTTTAGACATGCGCCAGCCCTTCGAACCTACGACAGCATTGAATGCCGAATTGAAAAGACCACGACTGCCTGTTGGTCGTCTGTGTATCGGTGGATCAGATACCATCGCTCTTCACTTTGTATTCGTCGCGGGACCCAGGATTCCTTGTACAGAAGCAAACTTGACAACACAACGGTAACATTCTACCGCTGGGACTATACCTCCAGTGCGTGATGTAGCTTGAATGTGATCATTGCCAGTGAAAGCTTAGTTACGGGCATCCAGGCTTGAGATGTCTCCCCTACAGAGCGACAGTAACCCTTCCGCAAGACATCCGCATTTGACCGGTGTCTATCGCCCAATGTCGCAGAAGTATGAGCATGATCGGCCAAGCGGAGCTCTGTACCTTCACAAGACAAACGACAACTTTTCTCATGCGAGCCCTCCTCGACACGCCCATCAGGGGTATGATACCCTCTGCACAAGTGAATCAATATATTCATAAGGATGGCGGACGCGAGTTCCTAGACATATCACGCCTAGAAGACCGATAGGACCCTCACTATGGGAGTAAGCATTGATTCAGGATTGCCTGTCGCAAGCCTAAAGGGGATGTCGTCGGACCCTGAGACGTGTTCTGTCAGTATGAGTTGCAATTTCTTTCGGTAAAATCATGGGTGGTTGGGAGGCAAATGTACAGTACAACTTGGTGGTAGGAGAGTATTAGGACAATAATTCGCACATTACTCTATCAAGTTTTGATCGACTATCCTTGAATGTGCTTGCTGTGTTTGAATCATTTCGACAGACAAGTAACGCTAGGATGAGAGTCGCAGTCACTAATAAGAGAATTCATTCAAATCTTCAGATCCTACTTCCTTCAAATCACCAGAAGGGCGCTTACAGGAGTAACCCATACCACCCCCTGCTTCTGGACACGCCCATCGAATCAAGGACCGGATCTGCACTATATCACTTCGCTAGCCATGATGCTCAAACCCGATGACATCTGCTACGAGAAGCACATTTCCATGGTCTCTGCGCTGGTCACTAGATCCATACTCTCAAGCACAACAAGGGGGCTGCCTACACATGAAACTCCCATTTCAAAGAGTCTGTCATCAAGACAAGACTTAGCAGGATTCTCGTCAAGTCGGTAGTATGTGAGGCATGGCAATCACGAAAACATAAGTCATGAGCATGTCTTGGGAGGAAAAGAAAGGAAAGCCCTCGCCAGCGCTCCATGGTCTAATGCTCACGGTCGACGACACCACTGAATAGGTAGTGTGGCTAGGTAGCGAAAAGCACACTCAGGGGATCTCGTTACCGAATCCCCCAAGACATCATTGGCATGCAGCCTTCTATCCCAGCGCCACAAACCCACAAACCAAAAACAAAAGCTAGCCTTGTTTCATAACACCCCCTCGTCAGACCGTATCTCTGGTCGATCGGTAAACCGCCGCCTTAAAGTTCATCAGATCGATCGATATCAGATTCGGCCACCCCCCCGACTGCTCCGAAAGAAGAAAGCGCCTCAGAGGGCCGGCGAGGGCCCTTCCCCCAATCCCGGATCCCCCCAGGCGAGAGTGACCGAACCAAGATCTCGCTTGGGAGGGGAATGTGGGAATTGCTGACCAGGGAAAAAAACATCCGATCCTCGGCAGTTGTAGCCGCAGATTCGCCTCTTTGCAAAAAAGGGGGGGTCTTAAAGGGGGGGTTTTAGACTCAATACCGTATTCTAGTCCAGACTAGTAGACATGGACAATGGCGATGGGAAATGGAAAAAATGGAAGTTTCAGGACGAGTTCTAGATAACTCACTCCCGCAGTCGCAGCTGTTCGAAGCTGGCAGGTTCCACCGGGCCACGGAAACTCTAGCCAGCGAATTAGCTTAAGTGGGAGACTGCGGCGGTAGACTAAGCCCAGCGCAGCACTTCCGTAGGTAAGAACTGAAGCACATCCAACTGGAATTTCGCCTGTTTACTCCCCCCCCCCCCCCCCGCCCCTCTTTCCCTGCATGGCCGAGACACCGTATATACAACACTCATCCTGACCTTCAGCCGAATGCTGGACAATGCTCCCTGTAGCTGTGAGCTTGGGAGTGACTTTTATTGCATTCTCTGGTCATGTTTTGGCTTGTCCAGTGGCTATAGTGGATCAATGGACTCATGTCCGGGTTGTGTACGGAGTACTACTCCGCATACGATGAGTACGGTACATATAGGCAGTACGGTGTACTCCGTAGAACCCCATGTTACCTCCCCGATCCTGACCAGGAGACCCGCGTGTTGCGACGCGGTTGCGACGCAGCTGAGATGACAGCAAACAAAGATGGATGGACTACAAACGGGTGGAACCATATGCATTATTGTTCAATAGAAGAAAAGAAAAATGGACTGAAGTGTCAGATCAGGTACTGACAGGGATTCGCCCCTGTCGTATCTATCTATAAGGCGCTGCATTATGGCTGCCTCTCAACCCTCAATACTATCTAAGCCTATGACTTGTATAGTCATGTATAGCATTATCTGGGGTTCCAGCTCAGATGAGGGTCTGCACTAGCAAGTAGATATCAACCGAGTATCTATCTACGCACAAAAACCTATAAGTTAAAACGGTCGTGAGGGGGGGTATCGCATGGTCCCTCGCACCAATTGAGCATCCTATGAGTACTCCATCGATTCACTAAAATATGTGTAGTGATGGGTAGAAGAAGCAGTACCCGTATACGGATCTTTGTAGTGGATGATGAGTGGTGGTACAGGGACCGGAAACCACAACCAGAAAACCACATCCACATCCCCTACTACATTAAGCAGGACTAGACTGACGGACGGCAGTCCTTCCGACGGTACGACGTCGGGTCAGACAAGGTTCCATCTCCTGCAGGCTGATGTCATGGCTCGTGGGGTTGAACGACGGGGGCTAGTGATACGGTACTGCGCTGCGATGATCACTTGATCAGACACTGGGCGGAGGGGGGGGGGGGGGCGGCCATCAATCAAACATTGACTCGCTATTGATCGGGGTTTCGGCAGATGAGATGTCAAAGCTCAGGTGAGATATGAGTTTGCGAGTAGTCACTTGTTACTCCCTGCGGAATAGGTAGCGAGAGGGGCAGACTCGGGACTAACTATGTACTACTGGGTAGCTTACCTAGTAGTACATAGCTGCGATGAGTTAGGGGAGATCATGCACCGCAAGGAGGTGGTTACCGTGATCAGCGCAGACTGGCGGTGCTCTGTTCCTTCCTCTATGAACATGAGGGTTCGTGACCCGAGGCAAATGACCCGTCCACCCGAACCAAGGAAGGACATGTAGAGAGTAGAGAGTACAGACCTCATGTAGGTGAAGATCTATGAATTGATGACGGGCCGCTGGCAGGTAAGCCTAAGAATTGCCTAATCGAGCTCAGCGATCAACCGCTGCCGGAGGAATAGACAGCGAGAATCGGCCGGAGCGAGAAAAGCCACCTCTGTACTGTACATGCTTGCATGGGAGTCATTATTTGTAGTTAAGTAGAGGGTCGGTCGCCAGTGAATTTAGGGCCCTACGGTGCTGTCGGTGGCCCTGACTCGAGCAACCACAAGATAACCTCGCCTGAAGCACATGATTCGAGTCAGGGTAGATCAGACTGGAATTCCTTCTCTCAGTCTTTATTTCTGTAAACCTGCAACTCTAAAGGGCATAAATTGATCCCCTCGGCGCAATCGCCCTTCTCTCAGAGTCCAGACTAAGAATCTAAATTCACAACCGAAGGAGCAAAAGTCACTTTGGCTCGGAGGCTGAGCCGGAGAAAGAAATGAGTGGGAGACGGCCCAAGCTTTGGCTGTCTTGGCAAAGCCCCGCCAACGTCAGCGGCGGTCATGATTGGCACCATTCTTTCCCCGCTATGATGTCACTCGGAAACAGTTGCTCTCCATCATTGGTCTCTTCTGCCCGCCAGGCCCCAGAGGGCTTTTCCATCGGCGTTCATGCGTCCTGGTCGTTTCTGGATCTCTTCATCTTTCCTGGCAAAAAAGAATAATAAAAAACGGGGGGGAAAAAACAAAAACGAAAAAAAAAAGAAACAGCCAGGGCAACGGCATGTTCAATGACGACTTGCCCTCCACTGTTTCTCACAGCTGTAGATATATAGACAGACTCACTAAGATGAACCCCCATCAATTGATCTTGTCCTTCTCGAATTTCGCAGTGTGAAGGGCAACACCCTGTACGCCATGGAGCTCCATTTATGGCTGCCCTAATACCGAAATCTCTCATGTCCGATGGCCTTCAATCCGCCGGTGACTGTCCCTCTCCCCGCAGCCAACGGACGGACGGAATCATGGAATTTGAGTCAAGGGAAGGATTTCCTCGTTTCGCGTCCTCTGATGAGCATGAACTTCTCTGGTGTTTGCACCATTGGTACTAGCCCAACCAACACCAGCCAACCCCTGAAAGCCTGAAGGGCCCAGAACCCTCCCACCTTCTTCGGGCAACGTCGTGGCGAGTTCAAACCTGAACAGGGTCCAGGATCGGTGGTAGTGGTGGTGGCTGGTAGTCGGACAATTTGTCGTCGACGCGGAACGTCGCAAGCATCATCGTCAACAGGATGGGGCCTAAAGATGCATGGACCGCTGCTATTCCCGAGCGTTTTCCACTCGGGATGTACCTATGTAGCTCTTTCCTTGATTTCAAGGCTGAGCTCTGATCCTATTACCTAGGGATACTGGTTTGTACCGGGGTTGATACTCCTGGATCCACGTGCCCTCATGTCCCATTACCTTGCTGATGAAGTTGGTTGAGGGTGTCAGGCAGTGGTGGTGTACAGTACAGTGGTGGAGATTGACGCCAATACCCGAAGAAAAGGCATCTCGAAGACCGACACACCCCCTACGTCAGTTGTGGCCCTATGATTTCAGCCTGCATCATCTTCCGGGTGGAGAATGCGAATCGGCCGTTCCTTCGTTTGACTCTGTCGAGGAAGTTAGGGAACGAATGCATGAAGATAGGTCAGCAAGAGTGAGACAACGGAGGTTTGTCCCCAGGCTCTCAGACCTGCAAGACTTGCCAATACTGGTGAGGCAGTCTAGTCCCCCTTGATGCCTGTCATATCTGTCTTCTCTTCCTCTTCTCTTCAGTTAGGTTTTGGAAGAAAGGCATTTTGACTGGGTTGATGGGCGCAGACTGTGGAAGGTGACGATGATGGAGTTGTGCATTCTTGGTTGTGGTTAGTCCGTCCACCATGGATGAATAATGAATGGATTGGATGGTCCCGGCTGTTTGTCCTTCCCTTTTTTGACGCCCTTTTCTTTTGTTCCACAGTTCTTTTTCTCTCTCTTCTCCCCACATCACCTCCCCACCAATCGCTGGCTTCATTATTTGTGGATTGTTTGACCTAAATATTTTTGAGGCTTTTCCCCCCTCCTCCCTTCACTTTCTTGTGGATTGTTTCTTGCTTCAAGCTGATTCCCATATATCTGGGCATTGCTGTTACTCTGGCGAGGTAGGTAACCAAATCAGACTGTGCAGTTCATGGATAAGATGGTAAGAGTCGAAGGAAAGAATATGAGTACAAACAGCGACGCACGGTCAACATCAATGGAAGTAGACATTGACATTAATCTTGATTGGGATATCAGTCAGCAACCCTCCGCAAGCAGGCGTGAGGATTCTCGGGATGACGACAGAGGATCCCGTCATCGGCTGTTTTATATGCTTGAGTCCCGCTCTCTCTTCTTCCACCCAGCACTGATCGTCGTCGTCGTCGCTGCAATAACAATCGTTCTACGAATCCTTTCCCACCGTCTAGCCCACCTCCCCGACAGTCTGTAAACTTTCTCAGTCCCTTTGATAGCTCACTGAGTACTCAGTGCAATAATCAATTTCATCTCGTTCTTAACAAGTGCCACTGAACTGTCAGCGGGTACTCTCTGATTGGTTTGAATATCATCACAATTCCATCTCCTGTATGATGCCTGCTGCAGCCCACCCTGCCGGTGTCCAATAAGTTGACCGCTTCGCATCAACCTCCATCCTGTCACTTGTTCCATCTAGTTGTCTCCATCTTTTTCCTCTTCGGATATTCGGTTTTTTTTTTTTCCTCTCACTGACCCTCCTCCCCCCCTTCTTTACCCCCCTTCGGTTCGTCCCATGAGGGCAGATCCACTGTACCAACCACCATCTGATCCAGAATCCTTAAGCACCTCGATAATCCCAATCCCCAGTCGCTTCGACCCTAACGGTGACTAAAATAAGGAACTTATCGTAAGTAATTCGTTCCACTTGGAATCTAAGGCACTCGCACCAGTTTCGATTCTGTTACTCCCTGGGAGTATTTTGCGATTAAGATTTGACTGTTAACCACAAATCGTGTTCATCATCGGGACTAATTCTGCACTTCTCGAATTAGATCAAACCCGACCACCAATTAGCTGAGTAAAAGAAACAGACCCAAAGAGACGAAAAAGAAAAGGAAAGGAAAGTGCCTTACTTCCTGTAGGTACCATACTGTATGATTCTTCATTATTCTTATTTGATCTGTTTATCGGTTGTCCGCCAACCCAGCCCACTGGCTCCCCTCCTTTCTCTCTCTCTGCCCCTCCACTTTCTGGTTCCTCTTTCACGGCGCGCCTAACAAAACTGTAAAAGAAAAAAAAAAAGAAGAGAAGAGAGAAAAAAAAGGAAATTCAGAAAACAAAAAAAACCCCCAATGAACAAAAGAGAAGGGGGGAAAAGAGAACTTCAATCGCTGTCCCCTTTCTCCCCTCTCTCTCTCTCTCTCTCTCCTCTCTCTCTCTTCTCCCCCTCCTCCCCTCTTCGCTAATACTTCCATCAAAGTCACTTGTCCAAATCGGGAACCTTCCTGTCCCATCGCCTCTTTTGCCTTATCGTCATCATCTCTTCCCCATCTCTCTTAATCTATTTTAATTTGGTTATTTTCCGTCATAGGTGCTCAGAGTTGCTTGAGACTATTCAATACTCGAACCACCTGAACTGTGGAAAGGAAATTGGGTCCAAGGTGGGAAAAGTCCCCTCTTCGTGCTTCACTAGGAACGCGTTGTTCTTTCTCAGTGTTTCTTGTTCTCATTTTGCTTGTGCTTGCTTCCGCTTTTCGACATTCGGCTGTCTTCTACTCTACCTCTCTACACAACCACTACCCCTCCCCCTCTATTCTTTTTCATTACCTTATCCACTGGCCACTGCGTGACTCCGTCTCCTCCTGATCCAGACAGCTGTTCTCTCTAGGTGATCTCCATATGCGCCCCATTTAGTGTGTATGTGCTGTGATTGATTGATATCTGCATTTTGCACCGCACCATATCTCTTTCCTTTCCCTTTCATTCATCTTTCACACGCCACTTCACCTTGGATCCCAGTCTCACCGGTTCCTTTTGATACCTTACCCCAGGTGGCGAGAGCATATCTGAAGCAACCTTCGCAAGCTGCAAATTAATTAGATTCCTTGTCTGTTCCTCTTTTCGCCCCGCTCCCCATCCCCCCTCTGTTGAGCTTTCCTTAATTATTCACATCCTTGTCTTTTGGGATTCGATCTCGCATTCCGCTACACACACACACACACATACATCTTACAGTCAATCTTGAATTGATGAACTCCCCCTCTGTCCATCTTGTGTGCACTGCTGTTTGGACAGTCTGCTCTATACCTTGATTTCTGTGTGTGGTGCTAGGTGGATTTCTTTGAAGACCTGTCGTAACACCCTCATTGCGTAGGGCCATCTCACCAGGAACCTGTCGCGCTACTATTGCTGTTACTGCTGTTGCCGTTGTTATTGCCACTGCTGCCGCTGTTGTTGTAAACTTGCTATGCGGACCAAAAAGACCAAAACTGACCAGTGAATCCTCTACAGATTCGTGCCGTGTAAATTTTCCCTCCCAAACCCCAAGTATACCCGCTGTGTTCGCAGGTTTCCGTTTTGGGCTCGGCGAATATCCGGAATAGACCGACCCACAGCGTCAAAACAGAAGACAAGCGCGCAAGAGCCATCCTTCCAGTTCGGGTGATCGCGAGAGGGCGTTTGACTTCCCCTCCCCCGCCAACACGAGTCACTTTCCACACCTCGATCCAGCCAACCGAGTGACAAGCTTCATCTCATCACCTCCGATTTCCACCATGGCGCCCAGCACCACCACTAAGACCGTGGAGGAGTCTGTACGTACCCGCGAGCCCCTTGTCCAGAAATGCCGTTTGTAACTGCTAACTGTGCGCACTAGCCCAAGGAGAAGATCAGCGGCACCAACAGCACCGCTGCTACCAATGACACCCGCAACAACACCACGACCACCACCACTGCTGCTGCTGCTCCAGCTTCTGCCGATACCCCCAAGAGCAGCAGCAGCGGTGCCTCTGCTGCTCCTGCCACCACGACCGCCACCAGCACCGCCGCTACCAACCCCCCAACCACGCTGGCAGAAATGTCGGAGACCATCGACCAAAACACATTCGAGCAGATTCTTGAAATGGATGACGAAGGCGATAATGACTTCAGTAAAGGCATCGTGTTTGGATTCTTTGATCAGGCAGAGAACACATTCGATAAGATGGAGAAGCACCTGTAAGCCATGGTCTTCATTCTTTCGAGTGCTTACTGACCCTCGACAACAACAGAGCGGACAAGGACTTGGCCGAGCTTTCGTCTCTGGGTCACTACCTGAAAGGTTCCTCCGCCACTCTGGGACTGGTTAAGGTCAAGGACGCATGTGAGAAGATCCAGCACTACGGAGCCGGCAAGGATGAGACTGGAACCAACGATGAGCCCGATCAGGAGGTTTCACTTGAGAATATCCGCAAGACCCTGACCCAAGTCAAGAAGGATTACAAGGAGGTCGAGGATTTCTTGCGCAGATACTATGGAGAGAGCCCCTAAACCACGATCAAGGAAAACCCATCGAGAACTTCAGATGACCCACGGGGCAAGGTAGAGAGAAGATGAAGCAAGCATGCTGGGTTACTGAGTTGAACTGAATAATGCCGCGTGAGGGAGTGAGGCCATACACTCCGTACAAGAAGACCCAATGCAAATCGATACCGCCCGAGCGGAGAGGTGACCACGAGAGCGAATCACCCTTCCACACAATAAAAGAGTCTTTTCCATCAAGGATGCACCACAAGCGAGGAGAAAGGGAAGGGAACAGCAGCATCTGTTTGTATTTTTGTCTCTTGCATGTCATCTTCATCATCATCGTCGTCGTCGTCACGAATCATCACGAGGGTTGATCGCACATTTCAATTTTCATCTAATACCCAATTCCCCCCCCCCCCTCTCCAGTCTTCTGTCTTTTTCGAGTTGAAGCCCAGCCCGCGTTTGTTTCTTTAGACCCACCTTGTATATGAACTTGTGATTCCTCCAAGCCAAGGGAACTTAGGATGAGACAGACAAACAGACAAACTCAGGGTAGATGATTTGCTTTTCCTCTTCTCACTTCACCCTTATCACATCAGTCTAGTGGTAGTTGACTCGTTCTCGTGCGAAAGGATTGGGGAGGAGGACGAAAGGAAAAGGAAGAACCGATCCGTCCAGGTCAACTGTCCGCTTTGCGGCTCAAGAGGGAGAGAGGATGCGAATTGGGCTGGAAAGGTATGTATGCGTGAAGCGTATTTGTGTTGTGTATATACTTGAGTGCCGGTGTGCGTGTCCTCTGGGTGTGGGTGGTAGATGTGGTCTTGGTTTGAACCCATTTCTCCGTCTGGATGTACAACCTATCGCCTCACTTATGACCTTTACACGAAAGTCCAGATTGCGCAACCATTTGGGAGCCGAGAGGGCAGGGAGGGAAAGAAACGGCGACTCGACAGTGAGGATGTGCTGCTGGGATGTTGCGTGGATAGATTGAATGAATGTTGTGCATGCAGGAAATCTCGAGAGTCGGTTCGTCTGTCTTTCTGTTTGTCTGCGAACGAATGTCTTAGCCCGGTCCTGGTCATAGTCATAGTCATAGTCATGGTCATAGTCATGATTATGGTTATGTTATTCTGAGGGGGAAGGGAAGAACTGCAGACAAAAAGAGCGAGGCTGGTTTGTGGGGTGGTGGGAACTTCCTCCTTCCAGCTACTATATCCTATTATATTTTCTTCTGCTTCTAAGCATATCGAAGTTCTTCTTCTCTCCCTCCCTCCCCCCCCCCCCCCACCTTCTCTTCCCTGTTGCACCTCACCCTCATTCCATTCCTGATTGATCGATCGATTCAATAGAGTGGGTTCTAGAAAAATCACAATGGACCTTGCAAACCAGACCGGAGTGTTTGTTTTCTCCGGTTTTTTTTTTTCCCTGGTTGTCGATGATGGATCAATCACCCACCCATCAGCCTTCCTATCTGTCCATCAGTCAGATGAAGTGACTCCCTGATCCTTCCTCCTGTCGAAAGGACACCACCCCACTAGCCGTATCTTCTCTTCCCACCATCTTCTTCCCCATGGGATTAACAGCCACAACTGGATCTTGCCAGCCCAGGAGACCCTTCCCTGTCAGTGACCTGGATGAAGCGCGGTTTGGTTACACAACCGACGGTTAGACCGGGATGGGCGGGTTGTATGGATTGACTGTTCGCACATTTCTGCTGTCTTTCTTCTTTGTTATCCTTTGTCTGGAGAAAGTACTAAAGTTGAAATCTGACAGTCTCATCTTTGGGATTTGCGGTAATGTCTCGGTTGACCACCCACCTACCATGATCAACAAACCGGATTGGATGAGTGGAATCCAGATCCTTCTGAACGTGTGTTCCGTCTCCATGCACATCAAGACAAGAGGGGATGTTACATGCCAAACCTGAACCTAGCAACTTCATCAGGTCAGTCGAGCATGCAAGTATGGTCTTGGTACGGATCGCGTGACTCGCTCTCGAGGTACAGTACTCACTGGATTTACGTGCGTTCCATACTTCTTCCCCAACATCATATCATCACGTTGTCATGGCCTCCCTCCCTTGTCCTTGAAAGTCGTCAAGAAATGGCCTGACCGGTAGTTTAGTCCATTGATCCAATGCAAAGTCGCCCCTTGTCTCCAGACATATCTCCTGACGATCGGATAGATACATACACTCCCCACCATTTCCCCTTGTCTATAGAGTGGGACGGATGACGGATGATTCCGACCCGGGGTTGCTAGGAAACAAACGGCTCTCTCACTCTCTGGTGTTCTATTGTTCGGGTCGAGATGGGGAAGAGGGGTTGTGATGCTCACATTCTATCTTCAACTGAGGACGAGAAATGGTGCAGCTGCAGCAGATCCATGGGGATCTATTCTTCCAACGATCCATTCCTCCGTCCATACTTTTTCGGCAACCTATGCATCTTATCTATCTTGCTAAGTGCGAGTTAGGTCATAGGTAAAGGACAAGATGATACACAAAACAAAGAGCAGATTCTACATCTGATAAATCCTTTCCTTTGGGAACGATTGTGGCAAGCCGCCCCGAATCTATCCGTCGTGACTTTCATAGCGAACCGTAACTGACAATCCTCGTTCAGATCCATTCAATCTCGTCGTACAACTAATTCACTGAATTACCATCCATCTCATTCTCCCAGTTCTCAGATCCATTCCGTTCTATTCCATCGTTCATATTCCCGTTCGGAGAAAACACCCACCCCCTAAAAATTGGTCTACGATGATCAGGGCCACCATCTGTTTGATTCTCTACAACCCTCCTACCCCATCCACTATTGTTGTACTCAACTTGCCGACTTCATTAGACAAGAAATCCTTGTTCAGCAGGCGTTCGCCACGCTTTTCTGCGTTTTCACCCATTATTCTCCCCGAGATTGAATACAAACCAGGAGACCAGGGGTGCGATGGGGGTGGGATCATGAACCGATCGAAATGTTTATATATCTAGGTGTCACTAACCTTTGGCCCCTCGAACAACCAACTACGCATCCACTCTTCATTATTCTTTTCTTCTAATCTCGTTCAGTCTCTGGGCAATCCACGACCCAGGTTCTTTCCCTCTCAATCTGCTCTTTTTTTCATTGTTGTCACTTCCTTTTCCTTCCCGTTCAAGAACTTGCATTGGCACTCGACTCAATCCAGCAATCCTGCCCACTCATTCATCAGAACTTGCAAAGAGCAAGATCAAAAGCAATAGTCTCGCTTTCTTTCTCTTCTGATCGCCTAATTTGTTCGCACAAGTAAGAAACATGGCTGTGGGCCCTCGAGCCTCTAAGGAAGAGTTTATGCAAGCCCTAGGCTTGAATTCGCATGATCCGCAGCATGAGCAGTATTATCGTGCAATGAGGGTGAGTAGTCTTTCTATTGTGTGTATTCCATGATCGATTGTGTATACACCCTTTCAAGCATGTCTGTTTCCTTGCAACTTCTACCCTGATTACCTCCGTTCACGCTTGTTTCTATACGCGTGTGAGTTTCATGGTGAAGATACGCCAGGCCTCGAACACACTTCCTTTTGAAAAACCATACACACACGCCTCTTCTACCCCGGACTGTCTATACACAATCTATCTACCCGCCCAGCCATCTATCCCTACCCTAAACAGCCCTCATCCCCAGCTCCTCTCCTCCTAACTCAATATCAACCTCCCCACCATCACAAAGACCCCCCAATCCCAATCCCAACACCCAAAACTAATACTCGCCTTCCTAAAATCAGGACGAAGCAATCCTAACCTACAACCACCTCAACGAAGACCGCTCCAACCTCCTGGACAGCGTCGCCGCCGACCCCTCCACCAAACCCCCGTACTTCTGGCATCACATCCGCCCCGAGCGACAACGGTGGGGGATCCTCGAGATCGCCCGGAATGCGGGTCCCTTGACCCGCCCGCTGTTCGCTCGCGGGGCGGTCGTCACCTCCGCCGCTTCTCCGACCAATACCACCACCGGGGGTGCGGCTGCCACAAGCCCAGGAGGAGGAGGAGGAGGAGGAGCAGCGAGAGCAGCGGGAGGAGACACAACCGCCGCCGCCGGCGGCGAGTACGGACCCAACTGGGTGGCGGGGTGGTTGCTGTACAGCGTGTTTCGGTCCCGGGATGTGCGGAATAATCGCAATCGCAGGCGCGGCGAGGAAAGGGGTAAGTTTGCCTTTTTTTTTCCCCTTCTTTTTTTCGGTCTCTTTCTTATGCCCTCTGGTTGCGTTCCCGAAATTTGACCCTCGGAGGGGGACGAACAAGAAACTCAAAGCCTAGGAGAAGGTTGGAAGTATACATACATACATGTCTATGTGCGGAGTCAAAACTATATACATTGTATCCTGTACACATTTGGAAAACAAGGCCAAACAAACGAATATTGACAGAATATCTAGGTCGCTCAAAGTCGCCACAGAGACAACCACAACCGCAGAGTCAGACGAACAGTGGCGTTTCGGGCAAGAAGGAATATTATGATCCGGTGCGGAACGGGTGAAGGTGTGGTCAATTAGCGAAAGTTGTGCGGAGTGAGCGACGAGGATGGAAGAGATGATCGATCAGGTTCGAAAGGACGAGGGCGGTTTAGCCTAGAATAGACTTTTTCGAACCCCCAACCATGCCAATCAATTAATCGTCTGTATCATTGTCATTCTGTCGAGAGCCGTTCTTCTGCGCGCGCTCCTGTTTCAAAGCTTCCGTCACGCGCTGGTCGCGCTCGTCTTTCAGCTCGTCCCAGTCCTCGTCGTACTCGGCAGCAATGGACTTGATCTCCTTACGGAGCGAATTGCCCTCGTCGATCAGCGATTCCCACAGCCGCAAATCCACCCCTTTCCTTTCGTAGAGCTTCTTCTGACGCGCATTAATGGTGAAGTCGAGGGCCGACCGGTACGAGATTTCCCGGTTGTGATAGAGGAACCACAGATAGCCACCCATCAGGGTCGACAAACTGACCAGGTAGGTGACGGGCTCCATCGTATCCCAGCCCAGGTCGGTCTCGAAGGTGAGTTTGTACACAAGGCACCACCAGAACGCCAGCACGCCGAACCCGCCCATGGCTACGCGCTGCGCCCCGCGGTGCGCCAAGGCGTCACATTCATGCTTAATGTCCGCGATGTTCTTGATCCGGTCGGAGATCTTCCGCAGCCGCATGCGCAGGAAGTGCGTGCGCTCGTTGAACGAGGGCACCGCGACGTGGATCTGGTGCTGGCCCGCCGGCGCGCCTTCGACCGAGACGATAAACTCCCGCGCGCGCGCGGCGTCGCGGATGAAGTCGCCCACCTCGGTGGATTGCGACCACCGCACAAAGCGATGTTCCATGGACTTCTTACCGCCGCCGGGCTCGCTGCGTCGCAGGTACGTGTACGTGTCGTCGCCCGAGGGCTGCTTCTCCTCTTTGACCTGTCCGAGTTCCTCCAACTTGCGCACCTCTGCCTCGGTGCCCTCGTAGAGCGCTTTCCGCGGCCGGATCGGGTTGTCCTCTAGTTGGAGCGCGATGAAGGAGACGGACGGGGCTCGGGCATGTCCGTCCTTCGTCTTGATAGGCGGGATCTCCGCTTGAATGAGGCGCTCCAGGTGCGAAAGCGGTTGCTGAGGGTGGATGAGAAAAGCGATGGGTTCGATGTCTTTTGCACACACACACACACAGAGGTCAGTCAGCATGGCGCCCCTTCTTTTCATGCACACGGCGGAGGCAGAAGGAAATATTCTGAGACTCACCCTTGTGGTCACGGTGGTATTTGGTCGACAACGGGAGGAGCAGCTTGAACAATCGTGACGGCGTAGTCAACAGTTTACCTGTGTACCATTGGTTTAGTTCACCTGTTCACCTGGACACCCAAAGCATGACACGGAGACACAAGGTAAAGGTAGAAGAGGTTTCAAAGGCAATTTCCATCTGATTTACTAACCCTTTGTCATCGCCTGCCCAAGTTTGTCCTCCCCCTTCTGGGCCTTGGACGAACAGACCCCTTCCTCGTCCTCCTCCGGCTTCGCATCCTTGATCTCTAACCGCTCCAATTCTTGCCTCGGACCCTTGGACTGGAGACGCGCATTGATGCTGCTGAACCACCGGGTTTGCCCCGCCGTCGGAGCACCCCGTGCAACAGTCCTCGTGCTCGTGCTCGTGTTGTAGTTGTAGTGCGCCGGCGGCGCTGCTGCGGTCTGGAACTGTCGCCGCCGCCGCCCTGGGCCCGCTTGTACCATAGAAAGTACTATTGACGGCGCAGCAGGAAAGCCGGACTCGGGGCGACTACTACTCCCCCATTGTTGTAGTCGTTGGCGAGAGGGAATGGGCGGAATCCGACCTAGTATTGACCGCATGTTGCGGTGAGGGCTTTCTAAGGGCGGCAATTGACAAGAGGCATATAAGTATTATCGGGGAGAACAATTGGGGAGTGGTAGTGTTTTGGAGAGAGAGGGGGAGGAGAGATCCTGGAATTCACACAAAGTCAAGCTTTTCACAAGCAATGGTAAGAAAAAGGGGGTCGGTCCTTCGACCGGGATGTGGATGAGGAGTTGATATCATCACTCATGTTATGGTAATGGTCATGGTCATGGCAATGGTAATGCTGTCACTCTTCGGCCATTACGTGGATCGTCAGTTGCGCCTTCCTGCCTTGGACGACAACTGGAGACACCACTTCACCCACTTCCCTGCCCTACGTCATGATGTGTCAGCGGCTGTGGCAGTGATGCTGCATGCCTCAGGCCACAAGGCTTCCTGAGTGAGTTTGTGAGTTGTAACTATGAGTATGTCGGTAATCACTGTACATCGAATCTGACCGTGGCTTCATATCACACTCAGTCAAAAAGACACTGGGCTTCGGAAGAAGAGGAGACAAATCACCACCGTATGTACCGTACATACATACCTGCACTTCTGCACATCTAACTATAGCAATTGAGCGCATAAGCAATTCGTGAGACATCACATTCAGTCGCAGTCCGACAGTCCGACAATGCACACCGCCACCTCCCAGAAAAGACACCGCTAGCCACCGCAATGCAACCCTCCAAAACATACACAGTACACGCACTCATCCCATCCGGGGTGGTTCCTGTGTGATCCCACCCGCAGACAAGTTCCGTCCAATCCATTCTTCCACAATGAGCATTCATCACATTCATCAGATGGGGGCAACAAGACCCAAACCAAAACCAAACAAAAAAGAGACGCTTCGATCTATCGGATATCCGGGTTGTTCGTGTCATAAAATCATAAAGTCATCGTCATCAAAAGCCAAGCCGATCTTCCATCTCATCTTGTGCTCCTGTTTCCCTGACTCAACTCTTGTAAAAGCCAAGGCAAGAACAAGCTTATTATCTGGGTACCGGCACGGCCAGTGTGCGCCTATAGACCTTTCCCCTCCCCCGCGCCTCCTCCCTCCCTTAAGAAAGCAGCCTACCGACTAAACGCCAACGCTCGAGACGGGCCCATCGCTGATTGCCGGTCGCAGTCGATCCGGTCCCCTCCATAGCTCTCCGGGCTGCTGCTGCCGCCACTACTTCGGCTCTCGCCACTGGTCGAGGTGTCCGTGTCGTCCACCCCGTACCGGACTTTGCGTCCGGTGCCAATGGCGACTGGAATGCCCTGGATGACACCGCCGTGGTCGTGCCCGGCAGGGTACATGCCGTCGTTGACGGAGAAGTTGCGGCAAATCAGGTAGGCCCGCATCGCTGCATTTTCCCGAGCCAGGGTGTCCGATTCATAGACGGCGTCCGTCTGGTACTCGCGGTTGTTGACTCGGACAATGCACGTATACCCGGTAGCGCCGCTGTATGATTCGTAGAGAGGTTCCGGCCAGCGGCGCCGTCGGCAGAGACCTGTACACATGGTTATTGGACGTTGAACGGTGTGGGAAACCGATGAGCATAAAGGAAACGGGGAAAGAAAAAAAAAGGTCCCAGGCTGCCACCCCCTCGGACTTTTAGGAGAGTGAGCAGATCATAGCTGCGTGAACTTGAAACCAAGTCCTCACTAGGTAGCCATGGTCTGCTGGAACCTCTGTCCTTCATGACGTGCATAGCAGTAGTGCTCCAGATGAGGCAAAACAACGGCCACCACCACGACGGCCATCCATGGGAAGCACAGCGAGGGTCATCCGAAGCGGTGACCCTTTGGATCCAATCATAGAAGGCACAAAGGGACCGAACGAGACCTTGTTCGACGAATTGCAAACAGAGTATCTACATACTTGCAAGATAGAGAATATAGTACATCGCGGAAACCTGTCCAGGTCCAATAGGTCGTATGGTCCAGGCCAGTATTGGTTCAGTATTCGCTGCCCCAGATCGATTGATACTGCACAAGATCCTGGCGGTCACACCGATGGCATCGAGATGACCCTATGTAAACGGTGTCGGTTGGTGCCCAATGACCACGGTCTTCATCGAACGGCCAATGTGACTTGCTATATCTTACAATAGCCAGCAGCGAGGCCCGTCACCAGGTGTGAGAAGATTGGGTCAAGAAAAGCCCAGCGAAAAGAATGAAGAGACCAATTCAAACCAAAGGACGAAAGTCGCAAGGGAAAATAAAACTAGCGGCCAGGAACGCGGCAAACACAGCGTGCCCTACACTTGGGGAAAGCAAGAGGGGGGAAAAGAAAAGCGAGTCGAGGGGGATATCTTCCATGACCGCCCAGGTATTCGCACAAAGAAAGAGGTGGGGCATCTGGAGCAGCCCTCAAAGCTTTTAATCATTATTATTTATTGCTTAGTCTCTCTCAGATAGAGAGACCAGAAAAAGTCGTCGAGGAACGGCCACAATGGATAGAAGGGAGGCAAAACCGAAAAAAAAAGCTTCTTAGAAAAAGGCAAGATTTTGTCCAAAATAACAAAAACCCGGTAAGGTGAATAGAATTAAAATAAAGGAAGTGGCTCGCAACTGGTTCAATTGGACCATTCCCCACCAGGTTGACCGAGGGGAAAAGCAGCAGACGAATGCCATGCCTTTGAGAATTGTCCTAGACCTCACACTAGCTTTGTCCGTTGCGTTGCCGTTCTGCTCGGAGAACAGAATATGGCAAGCGCTGATGTGCTGGCATGACTTTTCACCAGTGGACCAAAGTGAAAAGATTCAGGACGTCCTGGCCCATCGGCCACCGTGTAATTCGCCGCCGATCTAGGCGGCTACGATGGAGATGTTGTTCAGAGTTTTGAACGCCCGAGCAAATCGGTCGTCTCGGCCTTCATCTATTCTGCTGCAGAATATGGACTGGTTTCTCTGGGCATACCCTAGAGTGGTCCATTGCTGTAGTAAGCGCGGCTCCTTTCCTCTCCCCCTTTGTGTTTAGGGCCACCATATTTTCCTTGGGTTATAGAGCAAGGTTCCTCCCCATAGCATATTCACATCTTTGATTTCGGGTGAGAGCGATGGCCCCTCGAACCCCGCATTGTGAATCCACAATTGTGGCCCGGTCGAGTAAATAATAACGAAGGTAATGGAAGGACGGGAGAAAGAACCCACGAGAAAGGAGGTGCGGTGGAATCCAGCTAATGCAGAATGATGTTTCAGAACAAGGGGTTCATGTCGCGCAGATGAATCCTGGCAATAGAATGCTCAGAAGGAAGCCGTGATTCCATTGTACATGGAGAGGGGGGAAAGAAGGGGGATGGATGGATGATCGCTGGCTGCTGGTGGAGGAAACAACACTGAAGCCCATGATTGGACTGAATAGCGGGCCCTTTTTTGGGCTCCCCTCCCCTTCTTCGCCCGGGTCAATACTAGTAGACGATCACGATTCTTAACGACTCGGTAAACGATCCGAATTCTGTAGCCCGCTTAGTGTAAGTTGACCGCTCTCCCGGAGCCAATCCAGAGTAACCCTGATAGCAGATACGACTGAACCCCGCTGTCCAGGAGTGGGATTGAACGACAACAACAATAACAACAACAACATCATCATCATCATCGAAGGGAGTCAAGGAGCACACCACTTTCGATGTATCAACTGCTGCGTGACTAGATTCCGGATAGGATCTACTCCGTAGATTGGCCACACAGGAGAGCAGCATCGGATTGGTCCAGCCCGCTTTCTCCTCCATTGGAGCCGTTGACTGACAGGTAGGCATTGCGGATGCACTGATGAGTTGGCAATGACGCTTCGTGCGCCGGGGGAGGGGAGAAGCAATCCATGCCACTTTGACACGAGGGGCAAAGAGAGGGAGGTCAACCTTGCAGAGTAACATGAGCAGATTCCTTCTTATTCAGCGCCACCCCGGAGAAATTGATTCTAACTGACCTTTTGCCCGCCCCCTCCCCTCCTTCTTGAGCGCCCCCCATCTTTCCCCCCTCCTTTTGATATGACGGATAGGCGGGCTGCAGCAGGTCTGTCTGTGCATGGTGTAAGTCGCCCGCTGGCTGCCCCGGGCGTTGCAATTCTGCGATCTGCGAGTAAAGAATGCTTTGCTCCGTTTGAGTTGCATCTTCGAGGGGTGTCTGCTGGCTGTCTTTGGAGCCCAAGCTCCTGGGAGTTAGTTGTCTTTGTCTTCTTTTCTCTTCCTGTTGGCGCTCAAACTACAAATTAGCCAGGGGGAAGTGGAAAGAGGAAGGCGGCTCTCATCAACGGAGGACGATGAGTAATAGAGGGGTAGAGAGGGGCTGGTCTGGACAACGCCCAGAAAAGCTAGAATGAACTAGATGGACCGTCTGCACATAGAGAAAAGCAGTGCTGCAGGGCAGCTCAGGTGGTACAGAAAACTGAAGTCGAGTCCTTGTCAAGGTGACCAAAACAGTTCGTGCGACCCTCAATCAATCCTCACTGCCATTTCATTTTCGTCTGTCAGCCCGCGTGGCTGCTCAAGGGCACCTCCTTCTGGATACATCCATCCCCCCCCCTCCCAATTTACCTCAGTGGTCACACAGATCCCTTAATCTTAAGCTGACTCTTACGTACATGTATAAGGTAGCTGTACTGTACTGTACAAGTGAGATTCACTCCAACTATCTGACAGTCACTCGCGCCCATCTCCCCACTCGATTAACCAAAAATGTTCCCAAGTCCCAGGCTGGCTAATTCACATTTACTGGTTGCCTTTCACACCACAGGCGCATTCCCTCCGCAGCCGCATGAGGAATCACGTAAAGTGGATGAAGAGCTGCAACCTTGTCGTTCTCGTCAAACACATTCACATCAGCTGAATCGCCGTCAGAAGTGACTGGAGAAGTGTATTGCCATGAGAAAGCTGACGCGAAGTCTTCCTTGCTGGAGACACTGCGAGTTGTATGATAGTGGTGATGCTGTGTAGTGCTTAGACCCGCAAGGGTATAGCAGGTATGATACGAATCTACATGTCTTCACGTCTCTCAGTCAGCAGAGGCGCCATTGACAACACTTTCCGGAGGTAAATCATACTTTCCAGGCTTATCACGAAGACCCCCGAACTTGGCCTGACAACACCCAAGAATATATCGGGTCAAGCCCTCCCGACTGTAGAGGTTGCCCACAGAGCTCTGTTTGGGCCCTGCCGCCGGTTGAGCTCCGTCGAGCGCGGATTGGATCAATGGCCAGCAAGATCCAACCCAGTGGCTGTAGCATCCGTCAACCAGCTTATTGGTTCTCCCCGAAAAGCCGCCTTCAGGGGCATACTGTCGAGCAGAGAGCCAGGACAGGAGAAGAGGGACATCCATGCACCTGTCACCATTAGCCGCACTCAGAGTGAAGAGGAGCGAGAAGCAAACGCTACTCACCTCGCCACGGTCACTTCAGGCTGGCCCAGGATGCACAGACAGGCCAAAGCACAGAATGCATAGGCGCCATGTGCCTCCGACCCGGGACTTCCGGAAATCCCACCTTCGAATGTTTGACCTAGAGTTCGGGATCAGCCTAACGCAGTCAGCTCAGGGGAAAAGAGCACTGACATCGAGAAAGATATGCGGGGAGGCCACTATCGAACGTCTCCAGACCATGTCGTCTGGCTTCGGCTTCCGGGGGTAGGATAAGTGGCAAATCTAGTAGTGATATGATGACCATCGCGCAGTAAGCGCCGCTGAGCTGGCAGTCAGTACGGCATCGGATGTACGCAAAAGAAGAGATCTAGGTCGTGAGGGGCTTTTTACCGCACATCTTCTTCCCCACCTTCGCAGACTCTAAAGCCCCCATCGGGCTGCTTCAGTCTTCCAAGCCATCTCCACCTGAGTCGAGGTCAGCAGCATACACCAGTGGCCAAGTAGGGGGGTATGAGCTCGACAACGCACATCTTCTCCCTATCAATTAGGTTGTATGCCTCTTCGCCTCCGATCATCGCAAGGGAAAGCACAGCAGCATAGCTCGAAGCGCAGTGGGACAATTGGCCATGGCCACCTCCAAAGCCCCCCGTCGGGTTTTGCATGGGTATGAATGATTTGACAACACTGAAGCAAGAACGATGAGTCTCAGTAGGCGCTCGATCTATTGGGCACCGGATCTGCCCCGGACTCGGCCAAGGTCCATCCGGCATCTGCAACAAAGCACACGGGCCCAAAACAGGACTGGAGATAAGGGGCACAGGTTTTCTACTCACCGTTCGCGGACTCTACTGATATCCTCACCTAGAAGGCTCAAAGCTGCCAGGGCCCAGTAGACCAGCCAGGGCCGACTGGCATCCATGGCAACGAACCCCTCTGGGTAGTCCTCTAAGGAGTCGAACAAATAGGCTACATGCTCATCCCTCGTGAGGGCGGGCACGCCAAACCGGTTGAAAGGGCCATTCTGGGTGCTGTGAATGCCCTTCAAGAAAGGTAGACATTTGTTGACCGTCTCCGCTTGGACCTCGGAAGTTTCCGTCACCAAAGCATCTAGGAGCAGAGGCGGCGTGGTGAAGAGATCTGGCACACCGGGTTGCACTTGTGGTTCGCACATTTCGTCGTTGAGTCTCGGCAATGACTGATGGTCAGTAGAAGTCGTTGTAGACGCAGCAGATGAACGACCACTTGATGAGACCTTAGGCCGGATGGGGTGGTTTTGCGTGTTTCCTGGCTTCGGTGCTTGGTTGGCGGTAGTAAAACGAACTTTGCGCCGCTGTCTCCCTGAAGCCGCGATCACGATCGGCATGGGAAGCTAGCTTGACCAGGCCGGTTTGGGGACTTATATCTCTAAGTTTCTAATTCTTTGTCTCAAGTAGTAAAAGGGTAATTGATCCAGCTCCTGATAGCTTTTGAATTGTTCTTTTCCCTTGCCAATGGATGAGCTCTGTTATCGCCATTCAGGAAAACCATTGTTCTTTTCTGGTCAGGTGGTGGTGGGGTTGCCATGGCTGGCGGGATTGACCCCTCAGGCCCCAGTTTGGGTCAAGTTGCGGAAACAAGCCAAGTGCGCAGTTCAGCCCATCTTGCTCTTTACATCTTCTTTGTTGGATTCGTTTCCTTCTTGCCTCCCTTCTGGCGTAGATTACTTGGAGTCATTGGTTTTCTTTCATTCGATCGAGCTCAGGGCTGGGCAGAGATAGTATGATATTACTGTCGAGACCACTGAGTCACTGACTCAACTGACACGTTCCGCTCACCCCTATCTTTTCGTTCCATGTCTTCCAGCCATCGCGGATGTGGAATGGATCTTCGTTTCGGTTGACCGAGAGAGGCTAGCGAGCATTCCGGCCTGATTCTTAATCCTACATGTAGCTAACTTACTACTTTGAATTGATCCCCTGCCGGCAAATAACTTACTCGAGTACAATACGAAGACCATCCATCATATCTTAACCAATCTGATGGAGGCTCACAGTTACAGCCGCGATTGGGCCCATCTCTCATGCTTGAAAGTGCTTGAAAGTCATCTGGCTGGCAGGTATACTGGAACCAACCGATCAAGAGCATTCGATTCGGTCGTCTGCTTGGGGATTGACTCGGATAGGATTTAAAGTTAATCGATCGCTGCTGTCTCGACTTCTGCCGATAACTACTAACCACTAACTACTCCGTACGGAGTACTGATTCCCCAAGGCCCTCAAGCACTGACCATCTGACTAGGAAATCCATCGTCATCCTTCTGGATCTAGCCTAACAGCACCAAGTCCGAGCTAAGGTTGTGTGGATGTGCTAATTATAAAACTCAATGGGTTGCCTTTTTAAGCGCCCATCGCCGTCAATCGGCGGCGCATCGCTAGAAAATTCGCTGGCTGCCGAAAGCGACACCGCGTTGGAGACGTTTTTGCGTGAAGCCAGGCTGGCGTGGCAAAGCTGCGAGTCAGAAATTCAATGAGACTGATTGTTTCATAGCCGGCATATCGATTTGTCGAGCGTCCCCTCCCCCCCCCCCCGGCAGTGGAGCCCACGGGCCTTGTCTTTCCTCCATACCCGCCTATATGCAGAGCGTTTCCTTACGCCTGGCTCGGTACCACCTGCTGTAGGGAGAGACTCTGTAGGTCGAGTTCTAGTGAAATAGACATACATGACTAGTCCCAGGGCTTCGGCCAAGACCGTTTTGACTTTCGCGCACACGGTCCCGTGAATGCTGCTGGCGTTGACAGTGCCCTGCTCTGGTCATACAAGTTTTTTGTTGAGAATGAATTTTGGATAGGTCATTCTGGCGCTTCGAATCGACGCCGAAATGAGCTATTACATGTGCTGGCGGCTATGGAATTCTCTTCCTTGATTTCTTGTGCTAGAATGGGCCGAAGGCAGCCAGAAAGCGATGGAGAAACACATACCCAGCGTGAAGCGTCGAGCAACATCCTGACAGCACAGAGATGTACATTACAGTAACAGTAGGCAGATCATACCAACAGCGCGAGATCGCATATGCCTAACGGTTGTGCGCAATAGTTATCATATGTTAAAGCTTCCGATGGGGTTTGATGGGGAGACGGTAGAAGGAGATCGCGACTGCCATAGTCATTATTATTATTATTATTATCGTCATCATTACGGGCTTCATCATGATCTTTCATTATCCTCACTAGGGGACCGATGCAGAGAAGACTTCTTTCTCTGTTCCGTGCTCTCGAAATCCCTAGCCGCTAATGAGAGTTGAACTGCTATCAGATGGTCGTGTTGATTGGAGCTCATGTACAGTCAGCCACCTTGTTGGCAACGGAGCCAACATGTGTGCACCATTGATTGACCAGGACCGCTGGGTATCATTGGATGATGGCCATGATCTACCTAGCTCCGGGACTAGGTGAGGACTAATGTACTATGACCAGGTCCTGGGAAAGTGCTGAGTATTGATATGCCCATTCAGGCAGTAGGCAGTGTTTTTCAGTAGGTAGCTGATTCCAGTCATAGATTGTGTTGCGCTGCAGGGCCTACTACAAATTTCACGGACCTTTGTATGTCCTTTTCATGAAACCACCTGCTATGGAATCATCGATGGAAAATACGTAGTACAGTACATACATCCAGCACATACATACATCCGGCGAGGTGGCTGAGTTTGAACAGGCGGCGCGGAGTGCGCCTGTGCCCTGTCTTCTAGTCTAGTACTAGGTAAGTGGCTGCGGGGCCAATTCCGAACAACGGCCCATCTGAGTACTACTAGGTACCTATTGCCACGACCGACCGAGCAAGATCGGAGCTGCTGCCCCATCATGCCAATAATCGTGTTGCCTTAGTCAATAGAGGCCCCTCCCAACCGATCTGGCCGGTTTCCACTGATCTTCCTGTCCCGAATGTTGCTCCCGTGTCTCGCCTACGGAAAATTCCGTCTCGTACCGTGGTCATTAGTTTTTAAGCCTCCAGAGTCCTGGTCATCCATCCATCATTGTTGATGAACTTCCACTTGCAGATGAAGGTGATATAGGTAGTGGGAGTAGCAGTAGTAGTAGTAATGGTGCTGGGTACCGCTACCGTACCTAGATATTTGGATATCAAGCCCTTTCTTTACCTATTAGTGCGACCCTGAACGCAACCAATTGTCAGGTGGGCAAATCAAGTAACTGTGATTTTCGTCGGAAGTGGTGCGCCAACGAGATACAAATGCAGCCGGTGCATGTCTGTGTTCGACTAGTACTGCCCTTTCCCCCATCAATCAGACTAGCGTCTTGTGCTTTGCCATGCCTACCGGCAATGCTTTTGCAAGATCGTCTAAGGTTTCGCTTGCCCAGAGGCGATTGGGAAGGATAATCATGAGACTCGTCAATCGAGCGAATCTACGGTGATGCCGAACCGGATCAAACTGAATTTTTCTTTCTTGCTTTTGTTGATCGGGAGAGGGTCTACTCCGTACCCAGTCAGTCTTGAAAAGCAGACTACTGTATGTAAGTAACGAGAAAGTATGTAAGTGTAGAGAGTGGGTTAGGGGGGGGGGGACTAGGCCCTTCAGGGTCATCGTAGCCGGCGTGAGCAATAATGAGCACGCCAATTGAGACGACGGGAGATGGGACGTGGTGTCAAACATCGTCATCATCTTCCGACATTTTCCATTCTAGAGAAGGTAATATTTTAGATGGAAAAGAGGGAGAAAGGAAAAAAAAAACAAGGGAAATGATAAAAAGGCAAAGTGCGGAAAAAATGTATGAGTAAAAACAAAAATTAAAAGAAAGGTATGGATTTGTCGAAACAAGCAGAAGAGGGACGTGGTAATTACTCCGACTAACCGGGTTGGGGATGAAGCCTCCTTCCCAGGACTCCCTAGCGTATTCTCCGGCCGATGCAACTTCTTGCAACTCTTCGCAACTCTTCGCAACACTTCGCAACTCTCGCAACTCCCGCCTCACCGCTGCTTTGAGTCCCCTCTCTTTTGCTGGGGACGTGTGTCTGTGTGTGTGCTTCACTTGCTGTTTAGTGCTGCTTAGTTCCACTTCCCACTGCTTTTGCCTTTCAATCACCACCACGGCTTTCCATCCCATCCCATCCCCACCTGTTTAGTCCCTTCTGAGTAGCCTGGTAAAATTGACTAGACTATTATCAGTAATTCTCTAATTTCTCAAAAAGCCATGGCCTCATGCTATCCGCCCGCCCGCCTTCGCCTTCTTTTACTCTGGCTCATTTGATTGTCTTTTGCATCCCCCGGATTCTGATTCTGGGCTCTTCTCTTCCTCAGGCTCATCTCGCCCAGCTGCTGCTTGCTTGCTGCTGCTGCTGCTGCTGTTGCTGTTTCATCCCATCATCCACTTCTTTTTCTTTCTTCTCTTTCTTATTTGTTTTTTGTACCACCCACAACTGTTTGTGTGTGTCTTCCTCTGTGTGTGTGTGTGTGTGTGTGTGCGTGTGTGTGTCTCTTCTTGTGTCTCTATCTTAACTACTATCTGTGTGTCTTGCTTTCTCCATTCATCCATTCATCCCCTCTTCCCCCCTCCGTCTATCGCTCGGTCTCCTGTCACCTCGTTCTCCTCTTCTTCACCTTTCCTTTCCCTTATCCTCTTGCTTGTTCCGGTTTTCCTTACTCTTTCTTTCCTTTGCTTCTTGGGATAAAAGTCTCCCTCTTAACGAAATCTGTTTGATGCCCTCCTATCCTTTATTCCCTCTCTATCTTGGTAAATAGTCTCAGCTGTCACGATGTCCAACGTCGATTTATCCAGTGACGGCTTCATTGGCCTAGACTACGACTCTAGGAACTATCTCCAGGCGACGCCATGGCCCGTGGCAGTGGATCACCAGCCCTCCCAGAGACCCGATGGATCGCGAGATATCTCGCCCTTACAAACCAGCGGTCACGCCTATGATCAGTCGGTAGTCCCAGATCCTAACTTGATCGTCGACTGGCAATTCCACGGGCAGCACTTGCAACCCCACCTTCAGTACACTCAAGAGGAAGCGTCGTCCGCCCCTCAGTACGCTACCGCCAGCTATGGCATGCCCCTCCACTCTTCGCCCGTGGATCTGATGCCCCCAACCCATGACCATATGAGCACGAGCCTGTTGGATGGGCCCTACTTGTCGCTGTCCGCACCAGTGGAGATGGTGCCATTTCCCTATCAAGACTTCCAGGCCGACCTCATGGGTTTCACGGCCCCCCATGGTCTTCCGGATATGACCTCCTATGCGGCGCCGCACAATCTGCTTGAGAGCAGCTCACCGACCGACACCTATCTAGAGGTCCGGTCTCTGACCAGTTCGAGCAGCGACAACGGTTGGAACACCATCGAGACCCGGCGCCCTCACGAGTTCACCTATCCAGATCAATTCTTCATCAATCCTACGCAGACGCTACACGACAGAAGCTTGTCAGAATCTTCCTACTCAACGTCTTACGGCAGTTTTGTTGAGATCACCAATCCCATCAACTCTCCTGGCTCTGACACCAACTTCGATGCGGCTTTCAACAACAGCCTGACCCGGCGTGTGTCCTACGACCACACTTCGCACGGTTCAGTCTCGCCCACGGCAGTCAGCCCTGTGAACATCGTACGGCCCGTTCCGGTGCCTTCGAAGAAGCCGACCTCTCCTCGATCGGCCGCCTCACAGTCATCTTCTGCTTCACCCCCGAGCAGAAAGCCTTCTCGCAAGAGCCCGATTGCTGCGAAGACCGCCGAGACTAAGGTCCGGAAGCAAACGCAGAATGGAAAGCCGGAGACCACCGAGAAGCGAATCGGCAAGCGCAAGGGTCCGCTCAAGCCCGACCAGCGGAAGCAGGCCAGCGAAATACGGAAGCTGAGAGCTTGCCTGCGTTGCAAGTTCCTCAAGAAGACTGTAAGGGCTCAACGCAAACTCAACGAGTATGGTTTGTGCTTGCTGACTTGTTTACTACCAGTGTGACAAAGGTGAACCTTGCGCCGGTTGTCAACCGTCGCATGCTCGTCTGTGGCAGGTTCCGTGCACCCGCATTGACATCAAGGAGATCGGGTACTTCATGAAGGACTGGAAAGCAGACTATGAGCGCCACATCTCCCTTGGATTCTCGGTGGGGAACATCAAGGGTTTCTCGGAACACGAGACAACCCTCTTCATCACTCACGGTTATGGTCAGATTCTCCCGATCAACGCTCGTGAGGTGTATGTGCGTGACGAGCAATGCTTCAGCGTTGACTGGGTCGAGAGCATGCACCGAGAGCCTACTCAGTTCGAGGTTGAAACTGCCAAATTGTCTGCTGGAATGGAGGGTATATCCCACGCTATGCTTTCCGAATATCTCGATCGCCACATCGATGGTAACGGTACCTTTGAGAAGTTTGTCGACGACTACTTTGAGGGCACGCCTTTCTTGACACAGATGCTGAAGACCGCTTTCCGCTACTATTACCGCACGAAGCTGCCGGTCATTCGCAAGGCCTTGAAACTCATCATTGCCTACAACCTAACGCTCCACGTGACTATGGTTGAAGGTCTGGGTGAGGAGCAATGCATGCCTGGAAAGATCGATTCATCAACATCTAGGTTTAAGGGCAAGACGATGGCCCCGGTCATGATCAATTTCCAAATCAAGTGTGCCATGGCAAACATGTGGCGCGAGTTGCAGAAGGATGTGCTGGAGGAGCTATCAAGCCTCTACTCTAGCGTCTACAGCGGCGACAAGTTGAAGAACTGGCCCACCATCTTCATCCTGGCCTCGATCCTTCTCGCAGTCTGGGAGGAAATGCAATTTGACTGCCACTATCGTACTCCAGTGAGTAGTTTTGAACTTGAATGTGGTGGAACCATCAATTAACCCCCTGCTTAGGAACCTGCTGCAGTGGAGAAATTCTGCAACGATATGGAGACCACCCCTGTTGGCGTCATTGTTGGCCTATTCCAGGCGATCTCACAGAAGCTTCCCGCCTTTACGGACTGGGAAACCACGAAACACCACCACCTGCTTCACTCGAACCCTGATGTGTGTACGACGATGACTGAGGTCCGCCAGCACGTGACTCAGTTTGGTATGTTCTTCTTGCGCTCATTCGTCTGGCTGGTTGACTAACGTCCAACAACAGAGAGCTATCTTCGTGGCCGGTCCAGTACCAAGTTCAACCGCAACGACTTCGATTGTTTGTCGAACAAATTTGTTTCAAAACTTGTGATTCGTGCGAATTAGATGACGTTTTACGGCTCTGAAAATGACGGAAGACACGATACGAAACGATGATATATGCCGGCATTGATGATTATGAAACTCACAGCACAGCAATTAGCGATCGCATCGCTCTGTTCGTTCGTACTTTCCCGCCGTTGTCATCATGATGCTTTTTTCCTTCTTTGTTGTTTGTGTTTCCCCCACCAGGGGAGACGACCTGAAGCATTTACCCTTGCTTTAATCCCACCCTTTCCTTCTCAGTGGTATACCTTTCTCGCACAATTTTTGCAATAGCGATGATGAGGATCACGAATGTCATGATATTGTACGGTCACGAAACTGTTTAGCAGCGGATGACGGATACAGCTACGTTGCGACTGATGCAGGAGGCTAGTTCTCCCATTACGCGCTGCAGGTTGCATCTGGAGTCCTTGATTAGCGAGTATGTTCGAGTGTCTGTTATAGGAAGAATTTGTTTTGATTTTTATGTTTTCAGTTTTTGGTTATGATCGGAATATGGAGCAGCTGGAAGGCGGTTCGCAAAGACCCATCCATGCCTGAAGGGAAAACGTGCAAGCATGCTCAGTTTTTATTCATGTCACCAGTTTATAAAGAAAAATGCACTTTATATGAGGTCATGCTACCAGGAGAATTTGGTACGGGGTTGGATGTAGAGAACATGCTTGTAGCATCTGCACTGCGTCAAGCGTTACGCTTGTCTGGTTGTTTTGTAGACTGATTGAGATCCAAGGGTTCCATCAGTCTGGATTGGAAAATCCGGGGGAGGGTGATTACGTGATTACCTAACCCGACCTCGGCTCAACGCTCCCAACAGATCAACATATCTATTGTTAAATCTTTCTTCCTGGCAGTCTACAGTAGAACCTAAAGGGGTGTCATCGCAGACCTCCAGTCAGCCTTCTGTTCAACGTCAGCAGTCAGCACCCTGGAGGCCACCGATCTACTTACTCCGGCCGTCCGATTCCCAACCTGAGCGTTGACTTCTCTGGAATTGAATGTCAGTTCCTCATTCCGTTCCAATTACACATCTCACTCCAAACACAAACCGCTTCCTCCCCGTACAGCTCCTTCTAACATAGCTTCTCACCAGCATCAGAACACCATTACAGCCACCAATTCACCTTTTTTTTTCTTCAAAAGAAAAGGAGTCAAAAAAAGATGTCAACCAGCGCGACCACCAAGCCCCCAACCAGGGCGGCCACAACCTCTCGACCATCCCCACTCACCAAACCCTACCTCATCCTCTACAACGCCCTCAACTTCACCCTGTGGGCCACCTGCACCCTCCAGGGCCTCACCCTCCTCGCGACGGGCACGCCACTACCCCTCATCTTCCACAAAGTCTACCCGCTCCTGCAGGTCACGCAATCGCTCGCCCTGCTCGAGATCCTCCACAGCCTGGCGGGCCTCGTGCGCGCGCCCGTCACCACCACCGCGATGCAGGTCGCCAGCCGCATCCTCCTGGTCTGGGGGATCATGTACCCCTTCCAGGGCGGGATTGTCGGGGCCCCTGCCCCTGCGACCGCCACCGTGGCGGGCGCGCAGACGGGCGACTACGCGTTCCTGGGCTGCCTCAGCGCCTGGGGCATCACCGAGTGCATCCGGTATGGGTTCTTCGTGTGCCAGGTCTCCGGGCTCGGGGTGCCGGCGTGGTGGGCGTGGCTGCGCTACAACACCTTCTACGTGCTGTATCCGTTGGGCATTAGCAGTGAGTGTGTGATGGTGGTGCAGGCGTTGAAGCCCGCGGCCGCGGTGAGCCCCGTGTATTGGTGGTTTTTGGTGGTCGTGCTGGGGGTTTATGTGCCTGGTATGTTTTTTTTTTTTTTGCCCTTGCTTTTGGGCTTCCCGGGGGGAGAGGAATGGGTGATGCTAATTATGGATTTGCGGGAAACATACAGGCTCGTATATTCTCTACACGCATATGATTGCTCAGAGACGCAAGGCGTTGAAGAAGAAATGATGGGTCCGCGGGCGTGCTGTGCTGGGCGCTGGGTTGGGGTGGGCCATTTGGGGGGGGGGCGAGCGAGCGACGTGACCGAGATTTGCCGGAGAGTACTCCGTCCCGAGGACGGAGTACGGAGTAGGAGGCACTGCATGTATCAAGCAGTATCACGATAATAAGGCTACGCCGCGCTGCGCTGCGCTGTACTGTTGTGCAACAGTAGCGGTACCTACGGTGTGTGTGGCGTTGACTGTTATGGGATGTGTACGTTAAGGTTTCATGAATAGATATCATATGTACAGTACTGTATATGTAGGAAACTTTGACCACATCCTCTCATGCCATGCCATATCATATCATATATACGGAGTATGGTGTATGTGCTATAAGTCCTTCATGATATCGCGCACCGCTTTGGCAGCGAATCGCTTCCGTTCCGTTTTGGGTAACCCGTCGCTCATATCTGATTATCCGGTTAGCCAGGAATGGCACAGGAAGTTGTTGAAAATTACGTACCTTTGATCGCTCGCATCCGCAGCAGCAGCGCCTCCACCGCATCCACCCGCAGCTCCTCGTCCGCCTCATCCTCCTCGACGAAGTAATCGTCGCTGCCGCGCTCGATCGCCATGCGCAGACCGACCATCTCGCGCTCCAACTCATTCACCTCGGAATCGAACCCGGCCGCCCCGTCGTCCTCGTCGTCCAGCCCGAGTAGCTGTCTCTCCAGCTCGTCCTCGTCGTCGCCGTCGCCGTCATTACCGAGTCCCATCGCCAACCCCTCGGTCTCCTCCTCCGCGGCACTCCAGTCATGCGTTTCCAACACCTCCTTAACCCGACGCATGCCTTGCAGTTCTAAACAAGACAGAAAACAAGTCAGCCCTGAGCAAAAAAAATCCAAAGCCCCGCAGAGTACTCCGTAGACGAGACGGGAAAGAAGGAAGGAAACCACAAACCTCCATATCGATTCCTCCCCGCATCCTCATCCTCCTCCCCACTCCCCTTGGGGCACCACCGCACAACCTCCCACCCCATCAACCCCATCTCACACAATTGATCCTCCCACCACCCCACGGAGAACGGCTCATCGATCTCAACATCAAGATGATCATCCAGCTCACCATCGAGTCCATGCACCTCACCACCACCACCACTACCCCTCATCTTCTCCTTCGCAGCGCCAGCGCCAGCAGGAGATGACGATGATGAAGCATCCACCAAAACCAACAACCCGGGCACCTCCCCAACACCCATGCCCCCCCTCTCCTCCTCAATCAAGCCCCGCACCTCCCCGATAGCGTGGATGAATTCCTTCAATCCGCGTACATCCGCCCGATCTTCTGCCGCTTCGGACTCGGAGGCGGTGGTGGGAATCGTAGTAGTCCCCGGGGTTGATGCCGGACTCGGCAGAAATGATGAAGGGTCATGGTGATGGTGATGGTGATGCCGATGGTCCACCAGATTGCGGACGCAGATCATCACTGCGCCGATGGCGTCGCGGACGACTTGGGCGTCGGGGCCAGAGAATTCCGTCTTCCATTGTGCGGGGGAGGGGGGTGTGGATGGTGATGGTGGCGATGGGACTGCTGCTGATGGAAGGGGGATCTCGTCAACCCAGATGGGGATGTCGGCTGTGTAGTAGCGGTTCTGGATGGGGAGAGGCGGGTGGGTGGTGTAGCCGGCGAAACTGGTGGTCGTCGTCGGCGGGGCGGGTGCTGATGAGGCTGCGGTGACGGTTGAGGCGGCGGAGGAGGCGACGAGGGTTGTGGTTGAGGAGAGGGCTGTTGTAGATGTGGATGGTGGCTCGGTGACCGGTGCGCCGGTGAGAGTGTGGAGGAGAGGGGGGATGATGGTCGTGGAATGCGAGCTGGGCGACAGGACGAGAAGCCGGCGCGGATTGCGGATGATGTTTCTCGTGGCGGTGGAGGGGTTGTCGGAGTCCATGTTGAGGTTGGAGGTGGTGTTCCTGGTTGGGGTTGGTGAGCTTCGTTCGCTGAAGATTGTGGAGGAGAGAGACCCCGAAAGAAAAAGTTGGTGATGCTTAAAGTTGCTGCTGGTGCGGGTGCGGGGAGGCAGGCCGAGGAGAACAAAAGACAGCCAGCGCGCGGAAGTTCAGTCGCCTTCCTTCGTATTCCCTCTCTGCACTTCCGTTTCGTATTTCCATGGACCACAATAATGTCGTTTACGAGCATTTCTGGCAGCGCTGCAATCGATTGGCGCTGCCCATCCCCACTCCGTCCAAAGTACTCGTACGTAGCTTTGTATCGAACCCACGCGCGGACGGTGGCTCCCAAAAACCATCCCTATCCCCTCTCCCCTACAGAACGTATACGATAATTCCGACGGATTTTTAGTACCGGGTACCCATTTCCTCCAGAACAAGGGCCAATCGTCATTCGATTTCGTGTAGTATATTCGATTCAATGGGAAAATCAACCCCCCGACCGACCGACCCAGATCCAAGATTTGCAGAGTCCATAGCAGAAAGAAAAGAAACAAACGCCGACCAACGTCAATGATTATCCACCTCCCATCCCCATCATCATCAATCAAACAAATCCCCTTAGCCTCGTCGCTGGCCCCGAGCTCTCTGCACAGTGGCCTTACCACGAGCCAGACCGACACCGCGGCCGCGCTGGCCTCGTGAGCGGAACATGGGGGCGTTTCTAGAACATTCAATTCAGTCAATGCTCCGAGAAAGATCCGGAAAGGGAACCAACCTCAGCATGTCCGGCACAATGAAGAACTTGACATGGCTTCCCCGGATGTAGACCTGATCCAAGTGTGACACGCGACCGTCGCGGGCGGTAACCGTGATATCCTTCAGTTGCACGTTCATGTTATCCTCGGCTATAGTAGAGGTGAGAAAGTCAGCGACGATGTCTTTCAGGTTTGTTGGTTCGTGAGAGGGAGGAAGATCGAGGGGAGTCACGAGGATGGGACGCACCCTCCAGAAGTTTTCCGCGATACACGACACCGGACGTGATTTCGAGAGTGACAACGTGGCCCTAGAGGTGATTTAGCTCAGGCACTTTGCTGAATCCATGCATCCCAGCTAGTTGAAGGACAGAACCACCCACCTGCGCCTCGTTCAGGAGCTTGATCGGGATACCGATCGTGCTGGTCAACTTGCCCATTGTGATGTCTGGTTGGAGAGAAGAGAAGCAGGAGGCGGGGAGAAAAGAGCACTAAACGATCACCCGGGAGGGAGTCTGTCTGTCGGATAGAGGTCGAAGGTAGAGATTGGGTGCGATTGGTCCTGCGACGATGGAGGGGAGGTGGTTGGTTGCAAAGGACAAAACCGGCGATGTTTGACTGGGAGAGCAGCAAGTTAGCAACCACACCCGCTCGACTCGGCGGGCGGAGAGTTTTGCGGCTCTGCGGGCTGAGGGCCAGCCAGTATTTTTATCCATCCGCGCATTTACACCATACTCGTCGGTGACTGCACATGAATTGACTTAATGCCATCGCAACCTAATAACTAATCCCAAACAATCATCATAAACCAACTACCGCACTAGCACTCTCAATACGCAAAAGAACCTATAACCAATACCCTGTACCCACCCATCCAACCCTCCCTCCGAAATTGGTTCCTTCGCAAAAAAAGAGAGCTTCACAGCTAAGCTCCACAGCTAGCAGCTAGCAAAAGCACCACCACCAACCCCAATTCTACAAAAAACCCCACAGACTCACACAAATGAACCCCCCAAACACCAACCTCCGCGCCTTCAACCTGGCCGTGACGACCCTCCTCAAAAACCCCTCGCACATGCTCCCGCACCTCACCATTCCAACCATCACCCAGCTCCCCGAACAACTCGGCCCCGCCATCTCCGCCTCCCTAGCCAAGAGCACCAGCACCAGCACGCCCCTCGAAAAACCGCCGCCCCAAATCCAAATCCGCGCCCTCATCCTCGACAAAGACAACACCCTCTGCCCAGCGCGCACGACGACCTTTCCCCCGGACATCCTGGCCAAGCTGACGGCGCTGCGCACCTCGCCGACCTCGCCCTTCAACCAGACAACGGCGCCGGACTCGATCCTGATCGTCTCGAACCGCGCGGGGAGCCACCCGCGCTACGACGACGAGGTCCGGCGCCTGGAGGCGCAGCTGGCCGACCTCGCCATCCCCGTGTTCCGGCTGCCGCCCGGGGGCGCGGTGGCCAAGAAGCCGTTCTGCGGCGCGGAGGTGCTGGCCTGGTTCCGGGAGCGCGGGGTCGTGGTGCGCGCGGATGAGGTCGCGGTCGTGGGCGATCGGTTGGGGACGGATGTGCTGATGGCGCGGGAGATGGGAGCGTGGAGTGTGTGGTGTCGGGATGGGATCGATGCAGGGGGACAGCGGGAGGGGGCGAATGTGTTGGAGCGCATGGAGATGTGGGTGGAGCGGTATCTTCGGGTCAACCGGGGGTTGAAGGCGCCCGTGCCCAAGGGGTTTGCTCAATGAGTTCCTGGGTTTTCGTGGAAAAGGAATCCTGGAATGGGAGACTGGATTTTGTGTGCTGTATTATATTTGAGATAGATGAGTTTGCTGCGTTCACTAGGTGTAAACTTGGATACGGTGGACTTCGATACCCAGCATAATAGCCTTTGGATTGGGACAAATCAATTTACATAACCTCTACATGGAAGATTGAGTTATCATGATCAGGTGGTCCCTGAGGAATGGTCTTCAATATCACTCGAACTCTAAATACCCCGGCGAAGTTTGTCTCAGCCTCGCGCTGGAAGAGAGATGGTAGATAATAATCGGACAGGATCACCTCACTCAAGGCACCAAATAACCGTCACAAAAGGAATATGCAAACATGTCCTAACCCGCCAACCCAAGAAACAAATAGAAGATAAACCAACTGTCGCCGTCTTAGTCCGACTTTCTGGCATAACCACGTTAAACACCCCTGACCGGAGGTGAGAAGAAAAGAGAATAAAAAGAAAAAACAATGGTCAGGGGCAGTGAAGAAGTATCAAAAAAGCGCATCCAAGTGCGATCGAGAAGGAAAGAAAAGGCGCTGTGTAACGCTCAGGACCAGCCCCACAGAAGAATAAAAATACAGAAAAAGACACGCTGAGGACACAATGTAAGAAATATTGAATCCGTCTCATCGAACTTGTTCGACTTCAGGTCTCAGAAAGAAGTTTGAAAGGCATTCGTTTACCCTTCTGAAGGGGTCAATCGAGGTGTGTTGAGGTATGAGTGACACCATCCGGGTATTGTTGAGCCAGACTCATGGATTTGAGTGCCGACCAGAAGAAGACGGCAAAGGATAAACCCAAGCGCCAAAGTTTGTTTACCAAAATCGTACAGCCGGACTCAGGAGCCGGGCGCCATTGCGTTAGGATCCACACTCTCGAGTGTCAGACTCTGGAATTCCCCCTGGACACCGGGGGAGGTGTGTCCAGATATCGACTGCATGGGCAGATCAAAAGCGCTGCTTTCAAGCCCCATGGATTGAGGAACACCAAATGTCATGTTGTGCTTGGCATACATTCCATTCATCCCCATCCCCTCATCCGAGTAACTTGTTTGGTGCTCATTATTCAGACCATACATATCTTGCGATGTGTGCGAGATGTTGGAGAGTGGTGGTGAATGGTTGGCAATCATAGGGTCAGCATGGCCAAGACTAGTATAGGACGCCGTCTGATGTGCCACTGTTGAGTCAACAGCAGGCGTGACAAATGGTAAGGTGAATTGAGTTCCTATGTTGGTAGCAACGGGGGTTGAATCACCACCTGCACCGGTACTGAAAAGTCCCGGGCTGGCGAAATCAGACGGAGAGGCGGTAGTTGTAGCCGACATGGGGTGGGTTCGGGGATCAAACCCGTAGGCGGCAGATGTATCAATACGCAGATTCAGGGCCAGCGGATGAGTCGATTGTGGAATAGGGGCAAAGATCCCTGTGTCTGGCTGGCCAAAATGCGCAGGGGCTTGAGAGAAGTTGTACTGGGCAAGCGGCGGCTGCATTGCAGAGAAGTCGACGGCTACCGGAACCGAACGACTCCGTTGCCGCTTGTGACCACGGACCGCCTGAACGCTCAGGTGGGTGGGGGTCTCGGGAAACACATTCAGGTAAGCTTGCGCGAATTGGTTGGGTTGGGAGGCAGGACGTTGAATGAAGGGGGGCGACATGGGCGGATTCATAGAAAAGTTATTGTATGCCAGGCGATTTTGGAATGACTCCAGGGAAACGAGTTTGGCGAGCTGGACGCTAAGAACCTTCGGGTGGCCTCCGAGATGGTGAACCAGAATTTGGCTTGCTTGCTGGTCTTCTGTGAAGTCACCGCACTGATAAAAGCCACCAGAATTAGATGAATCCATGTAGAACAGTGGAGGTCGATTGAGTTCCACCACTAGACCGCCAGTCCGCGAAGGGGCGCCATTTGGTCCGGGGGTCTGGTCACCAGACTCCAAGGTGATGTTCTTGATGTAGGCAAAGGGGTATTCGATCTTGTATCCGGCAGAGTCGTTGTTGATATAGTAAGTCATGCATGCTTTCTCCGGGGAATAGAATACAACGAGGTCCATTGCGTTTTGCCCAATGCGGCGCCAGCTGCCGATAGTTAAGGAACGGCATGTGAAGTGATGAATAACTATTGCCAGTCAGTCTTGATGTCACAACTGCACCAGTGCTCGACAAACGTACCAACTTTGCCAGAGGGGGTCGGCTCATTAGGGTAGGCCCCATTGGTTCCGTAGCCTCCTGTCCGGCCAAAAGGGTCTCTTGCACCAGGCTTGCTGGGATCGAATTGCATTGCTAGATATTGGCGCATTGATTCGGGGATTGAATCGCATCCTTCGCCGGTTTCGATGCTCTTCTTCGCAAGCATCTTGATCTTAGCGCGTCTGCATCGGCGCGGTCAGTATTTCACTTCAGATGTGCGCGAAGAAACCACAAACCTGTTTTGAAACCAGATCTGAACGGACCGCTCGGTCATGTTGATATCTTGGGCGATTCTTTCACGAGTGGCAGCGGTAGGGGTAGGGTTTTTGTTGAACTCGACTTCGAGTGTGACCAATTGGTCCTGGGTCGCGCGCTGGCGTTTGTTGTTCTTCTGTTGCTGCGTCAAGGTACTCTTCCTTTGAGGACGGCGTGCGGCGGGAGCAGTCGTGGTAGTAGTAGCATTGGACATGGCGGGAGATGGAGTGGAGGTTTCCGAGGGAGACGAAGTTGCCGTAGCTACTGCTGTGGTGGCAGAGCATGGGGTGGTGGCAGGGTCAGAAGTGTCTGTCGAAGACATGTTTGCAGGGATTGGGCGAGATTGTAAGGTAGTACGACGAGAAAAAGGAGATACGACCAAAGTGGAAACAGATGCTCCGAAGTGTGTGTGTGTAGGGAGGGGTTGAATTTTGGTGACGATCCGGTCGACAGTCAAATGGAGATGAGATATCGGTCTCTCTGTAGCAGCGTCAAGCGCGAGAGAATCGTGGTGAGATCAAACGAATGGAAGCGCTTTGGCTGTGAGACACGGGGTGAACTCGAAGACACAAAGCTTTGGGGGGGAGGGCGGGACAAAAGCGCGCGTCGCGGAAGCGTCGATTTGGGGGTTGATATAGTCAAGAAGCGGGATGAATGTAAACAGCTGACCTAGGCAGCTTGAGGCGAAAAGAATCGATGACTTCGTTAACCAGAGACAGAAGTATATAGGTCCGTGATCGAATCTCAATTGGCGAAGAAACCGAGATGTGATGTTGCGGATACTGGTTGAGAGATCTCGGCTCAAGGTAAGCGAAGACAAGGAGATTTGATCGAGGGATCGTGAAAGAGTGAAACGATCGACTGAAGCGAGCGGATAGTGATAATTGAAAGAATGGAATTGAAGTAAAAACAACAAGAAACGAGTGAATGGGGTTGGGGGGGGAGGGAAAAGAAGGGAAGGGAATGAAGATGGCCGGTAAGGAAGAGAAGAAGAGAAGGAGAGAGTAAAGGAAGAAGACAAACGGGTGGAGGGAGAAGGAGTAGGAGTAAGTAAGGCAGGCAGGAGGAGAGGAGAACGGGCTGGGCAAGCGGGTTGAGGGCGACGGGACTGGAGCGACCGTCAGTCAGTCAGGAGATGGGATGGGGGAGTTCCCGAAACGGTTAGCGAGTCAGTAGTTGGCGCTGGGCTGTTTTGGCACCGGCTGTTCCTGACTGTCTCCGTGGGGCTGGCCTTTTGCTTCCCCTTCCCTTCGCTTTTCTTTTCTTTTCTTTTCTTTTTTTTCAGCTCTCCTTTCTTTTTCCGGCTTTCCCTTTTTTTTTCTTTTTTCTTTTGTTTTTGTTGCTCTCTGTCTTCTTCTGTTTCTATCTCCCTTGGTTGTCTTTTTGCAGTTGGATTGTCTATTATCCCCCAGACCCTGTTGGCTCTACAGGAATACCAGTATCACTTGAAGAGCCAGTCGGAGGAGCAAGTAGCAGTGAGAGTATACTTATCGATTGGTAAAGTATTCAGTATCCCGTAGAAACCAATACTATCTTGATCATAGCATGAGTCTGTTATAGACATCATGGACGCTGGTATTGATCACCCTTATTTATCCTTTTTCTCCCTATGACTCTGGTCCTGCCTTGTATCATAAATGTTGATTCCAGTTGTCCGTCGCCTTGTGCCGCCGCCGGCCGGTAAAACATTGGGGACGTTACAGACCTTCACATGGCGTTTCCTGAAGCAAGACCAGGTTGTTACAGAACCAATGCCCACCGCCTTGTTTTAGCCCCTGCATCCAGTTGCATTTTGCACCACTGCATCTGCAACTGGCTGCCCGATCGTTCTTCATCCTGTGCAATCGATGTCTCCACCAATCAGAAAAAGACGCTTCTCCCATCTCGGCCGGCGTATACTGTAGGTAGTACCGGTAGGTACTCTCTCGACTTTGAACTTTAGTATTCCTCGTATCAGATACTTCGTGGCTAAGTAAGGTCCTTCTCGGGACATCCTCCGTCCACCACCACCAGCCAGCATTTACCGCTACTGCTGCTGCTGCTGCTGTCAAGCAAGGCACCTGTGGCTGGAAGAAGTTCCCATTGGCTCAGCCAGTCTTTTTTCTGGGTCTGGTGGTCTGAACGGTAGAAGATTGACTGAATATCGTCCACCATAAATAGCGCCAGATGCGCTGCTCCCCCAACGTCCGGAAGTCCCTGCTTTTGGTAGCAGCTGCACCGAGCCCAGCGAGAGTGCATTCCCGTCGAAGGAACATGGTCCGGTCGAGTCCACTACTGACGTAGGGTCCCTCATGATCCGAAGCAGCAACGTGAGCTGGACTGTTCCAGTGACCGGGCGGACATTGCAGAAGCGCCCGATATCGACAAGCTCCCCCCAAGGGTTCCGGGTAGTGGAGCATTGTCGCGAGATTGCCGAATCAAGAGCGCTCTCTGCGCGATGGAGTATCCCGGGCGCGGTGGATGGAAACAAGAAACAGTGACGAGGCCAAGCAAAAAAAAATGGATTACTGACCAGATCGTACGGAGTTACTGACGAGTCTTTCTGGTCTGCCGAAAGTCTGGCCGGTGCATGGACATGGTTCCTTCCTTCGATTGTTCCCTTCCATCCCAGCCTCAGCGTCACACAGGGACAGGGACAGCCGTCTTCTGCTAGCTCGACCGCTGAAACCGTGGGCGGTG